AAATGTACTATTGGCTACGGTATCAATTATTCAAATAATTAAATATTCCGAAAATCTTAAACGCAGTTTGTCTCAGAGATAATTATCTTTTGCCTACAATATAAGTTTCGAATAGATGAAAGTCATTAACAGTAAACACACAGCACAGGAGCAGCGACCAACAGCGAAGCAGTTCTGGTTTCGTGTGCCAGACTTTGAGATTCAATTGATTATTGATTTAATTTTATATCTTGCGTCATGCTACTCAAAGCAGGGCGAAATTAACATCTAAATGTAACATTATATTTTTGAGGTACAATAAGGGGTTTCTTAAGCCGTTTGTGAAGATTGGGTTTCTTCTAAATGAGGAAATTTTAGATAATTCTCAGTTCATTTCGATCGTATACAAGTACAGAAATAACATGCTAGTTTGAATCACAAATTTCAACAGAATTAAAAAAAGAAGATGGGCGAAAAATTAACTATACAAGAAAACGTTTCGGAGTACAATTAACTTTGAATCCCAAATTCACAGGTAAACATTGAAACCTGAATTAACAAATAATAAATGAATCGACTTAAAATACACAGAGAAGACTGGCCTATCTATTTAAAATACTATGAGGATAAGAACTGAGTGCGGATTTTAAGCAAGGCTTTTATTTGAAAATATATAGGGTTCAAAAATTCGTAAATCGGAAAGACCGTTACAGAAACTAAAATTGTTACGTCGCTATCGAACACAGGTACACCGTACGAACTGCTCAGCATGAACTAATACTGCTGAATGATGGGGCACTTGAATAAATTCCCTGATTGATAATTCCTCCTTTTTTGCTCAGATAGTCATTTGCTCCGCCAGTTACGTTGTTGCGCATCGCACACAACTGTATTTGTAGACTAGGAAATCGCTCTGTTTCGTGTTGCAACGAGTGCCTCATTGATGTGCGACGTCAGTTCCACCGTTGATATTCACTATAATGTTGTAGTTGTGATAGTGACTCTCAACCGATGCATCGATCAGGTAGTCGATGTTGAGCGATTCAGTATTATAGATTTTAGGTATATAATACTCTTCCCATGATTCTTTCCAATAATAAATATAATTCTGCTTGCATCCCTCAAGTCTTCGGAGCTTTATCCTGCTCTTACCTGGATGAAGTTGGTTGGATTTTTTTGCCGTACTCCAGCCGATTTATCGTCTCATTTTTTAATAATATTTTTAATTTGTTGGATATAAAGCGTTACAGAGTAACTAAAGCATATTACGAATTAGATTCTCACAATGATGTATTTGTAATTTCTCAACTTGATCGCTTTAATTTATCTATGTGGGACATTTTATTCAAGTTTACTGCCAGATCTTGGGTTAAGCGAAAAATGTGACCTTGATCATATATCTCGGGATGTTTCGTTGCTTCAATTGTTTGGTGGAGTCCAGGTACAAATTTTTATTTTCAGAAACAAAACAGGGAAGTGATAGATAATCATCGTGGCCATTTAAAAAAACTTACTACTCGCAGAAAATTCATTTGGATCAGGTGCAATGTTAGTCAAGTGAATACATGGCTGATTTTCCATCTTTGAATTTGAAAATTCTGTAAAATAAGTTTCAATGTAATACACATATTTTACAATTATTTCGAATACCACAGTAAAGTCACAGGACAGCTATTTGGCCGGAAAATAGATGTAGTATACTTGTTAATGTTTCGTTACATCATGAAAAAACTGTAGTTTATTTTTTACTGCATCATTGCCTCTCTCAAAAAAATCATTGTAAAAAATGTTTTATTACCTCACAAAGAATCTGTGGTTCACTTAAATGTTTCTCGTTAAATGGTAGAAGGATCTTTGATATTCTTAATATTGTGTATCGTCCTGATAGTGTTCATATAACTTGGATTATGTTTTTCTTTCTTTAAATTATTACAAATAAAATAGAACGACTTTAATGAAGAAAGCTTCGTACCTTCCTACCTGGTGAACGACGAAACAAAAGTTACAAATTGTTCAGATAAAAGCGATAATACATAAATTATATTTTTTGTTGGTTTGAAGTGCTTTGCAGTTGTTCAATACAATTAAAAAAACATTGGAGTAAGTAAAAGAGAAAACGTCGGCCATATCGTAGGAGGCATCATGAACACCTACCACCAATGATCAGATATATTTTTATATTACTGCCCTAAACGGGTATCAGGCGATCACGTTTCTGTATATTATTTAAATGCCATTGTTATTTTACTCGATCGCGATCAGAAGCTACATACAGATGCGCTCTTGAATGACGCTCCGTCACGCGAAGCTTGATCCGCCCCCGCGTCAAGTGCAAGCCCCTCGACCTGCGTGTTTGATGGCTGGTAATTATTCTCAAATAAGTCGAGCGCTGCCATCATCTTCTGCGTCTTACATGCGTAACGCGTCTAGCTTTATGATAGGATTAATCGAGAAATCCTTCAGTTAGCCGTTAAAAATGTGTGCAGGAGATTGAGCATTATTTTATCTGATGGCTGCAAAATAAATATAATGTGGACTTGCAGGATGAATTATTGTTGAGGTAACAAGTAACAACAGATTATTTCCAAAAAAACTATATATCTAGATCACACGTAGGGCAACGTGGGGCAGCGCGCCCCCCACTTTTTTTTAAACTAAATTTTTGACGAAGTTTTAATTGATACGAGGTGGTTCTTTGTTTTGTTTAAAGGTACAACTAATGAGGAATGTATGATGTGAATTAGACGCCTATAGAGTTATTAAATTTTTAATGAAACACTATTTTGTAAAAAGTGTCAAAATGGGCCCATTGCCCCTCTTCTTTGGGAAGCTGTCACGAAATCATTTTTTGACGCACAGGGATGATTCTGGTACCGTTGAATGCGTTGAAAAGTGAGCTTTAAGATGAGCCCAAAAAGTGGAAAACGCCAAAATTGAAAATTTTAGGTTAGACGGTCCCCTTAAAAAATCTATCACTGACGTGAAGAAAAATATTTCATTGACATAAAAATGTATATCCTTGACTTGAAAAATATATCCTTGCGATAAAAAATTCGTCCTTGACATGAAAAAATATATCCTTGACTAGAAAAAATATATTTAGTTGATCAGAGAAAAACTTCAATCCAGCTTCGTCCATAATCCAGATATTATGTGCAGAGAATTCATTCCTAATCGTGATTTCAGCCAACACCATAAAAACTCATCAACTTTTGGCTCATTGGTGTTGACTGAAATCAACTTTTGGCAAGGCAAGAGTCAATAACTCGGTAAGGGGTCATAACACGCATAACTAGAAACTAAACCTGCTGCCTTGAGGCGGCAAATCAAAAAATCATGCAATATGAAGTGTAATTTGTAATTCAAAAAGCTAGTCATAGTTTTGAAAAGGTCATTGAGACAAATCTAATGATGTTTAACACAAGACTTCACCATGGACGCTTTGCCCCGTGACACGCGTGGGCCCGTTGCCCCCACTAGGTATCATTTCAATTTATATCGTGTCAATATTTTATTTTAAAAGCTAATAATCTAAACTTGATCTCAAAATTATCCCTATAAATATTACTTTCAAAATATAATTCACAGTAATTTCGAAAGCTTCATCTACAGTAATCGAAAGCAATTTTATTTATCAGCAAAAAAAATTCATCTGGGCTAAAACAGTTATTCACAAATAACTTAATAACGCAAACACTTAGCAAAACGTAAATCCGTACACTTCATCCCAGTGAAACTGTCGACCGGCGGTAGAGAACACGGACAAATATCTGTCTGTCATACTTAGCGAGAAACCCGCTATATGGGCCCGTGACCCGCAGTGGGCTCGCTGCCCCATGTTACCCTACGTATTTTGTCGTACGACTGATTTACCACAATCAGACCTTTATTTCGAGCAATCATTATTGTAAATTTGCTCAAATACAGATTCATATATAAGGAATGATGATGAATGAATCAAGTTAATTTTACCCAATTAGTACACCATATTGTTATTCCTAGGGGCGTTCTGATACGCGAATGTATAACATCGACTTCCATCAACAATTATTTCCAGATATTCATAGAAAAAGTTCACCTAAGAGCATTGGAGAAAGGCAGTTATAACGGGAAATGTGGGGAAATCAAAACACTACTAATATGCATGTATATTTTCTCTTTGGAACTGCCAACGTTTGCTTCGATCGACCCTCTTAAACTACATGATTACTCGTAATATGAGATTTCTTGCATAGGATAATGAATGAAAAAAGCGTTATTCTAGAAAAATCTAAAATACATATATTATCTGAACATATGAGCATGAAATTGTTTGACAAGTTTTTTCGAGAGGAATCACCGTCATAAAACATATTGGATGCATGCAGTGCATAATAAATGGATGAAAGCTAAGAAAAGGCCTCTGCCAAATCTACCGCATTAAACAATGGGATGAGAAAATTCCTATCTCTATCTCTGCATTGCAGAATTTATCATACTGACCATGGATGCCAGTTTGAGCGATTGAACTTCATTTTGAAGTTCAGTTCTTCAGTTTGAGCGATTGAACCCCATTTTGTAATGACTGACAACATTATCATTGCTTGTGTGTACATAAGTAATATAAATGACCAGTTTCTTTCGAATACGCTACAGATCAGGTATAATGCCACAGGATTGACCAGAACTTGATACAAGGTTATTGCTTGTTTGGTTATTGCTATTAATATTATTGTTTGGCTCGCAATGTTTTATTTCTTAAGGCTATGACGTAGTCTGGTCTTTTATTTGTCCACAAAACTATGAGTCATAACCTACGCAATATAAACTATAACTTTCGATCATTAAGCCTCTTGATTGAAAACATACTTTATATCCCGCTATTGAGATTATAAACCGGTAAGAGACATAATTTGGTAATTAAAAATGCTATTATAATTTCTAATCTAATACCCTCCTTTCCAGTTCTCTCATACTGCCTCATTCAACCGTGCTGTTTCCATACCACAGAACTAACATTCTTCAGGTACTTAATATCAAATACGAGTAGTGATTGTTTATTGGAAACAAGTCAATCCACGTTTCTTGGACAGTGAAGGCCGTTTCCGCAGCTTAGAACTGCAGAATTTTCAAGAAGCTCTGAAGGAAGAGAGATGTCAAAAGTTAAACTTAGGCCTTAAAGCATTCAAAGGATCACTTATGAAACATTATAAGTCTAATCAATTTAGATACGAGAAACATACGAACATAAACACAATTTAATAAATGTTCGTCATGGTTCCATTGCCATTATAATGAGAATGTAGGCATTGCGTGAATTATTGTTGTGCACGTGAGAAGCCAAATTTGACACCTCTGATTTTTTATAGCGATTAAGATGCCATCAGTTGAAAAAGAAATAAACCAAAAATTTCCATTGCGTCTTGGCATTGAAACGCAATATATCGGTTTGATTGGGCACTATGAATTTTGCACATATATCAATTTTATTTATGTCAGTAATAAATAAGAATTACCGCCTGTGAATGCTGGAACTTCCGTAATGTTGCCAATTTCTCGGCAATTAAAAGTTCAATGAGACTTTCAATCATTCAGTTCACTGAACTCTAATTATGCTACCACCATGCTAATGACAGCTCATACCATACAATATTTTCAGTAGTTAAATAAAATTATTCGTCAAGTTTAGTGAAGGTACAAGCTGACCGAAAAGAAATGCAAAAATTGTTTTGTGCCTGGATTTTTACAAATGGTTTAACAATAATTATCAGATGCTAGGCTTAGATCACTGGCTTTATCAAATATATTTTATGACCAAGCATTAAAACATGTAACTGCATCCTCTGGTATTGTAATCGTATAGACTCCAGTTATAGAGAATATTTATTAATCGCAATCGTTAAAGGAAGTTATTAGAATTTTTTTGTAATACTCAATTATTCAGATTATTTTCATTAATAGCAAATTGTTTAATTCAGGATTATCACGCTCTTATTTTGTAGGTGAACTTAACGTTTTGTAGGGTTCTGCACATGTGTGCGATAGTTCTCGCGTCGTTTATAGTTTTTCAAAAAATTAGAGATACGAGCGGGAGAAACCAGATAGCATAGAGAGATCATCAGACGTGAGAGGTTGGAAGGGAAGTTGTGCCAATTTTTCACATCTCAAATTGTGAAGTCCATTCGTTTATAGATACTACCCGATTGACATACTGAATAGTTGAAACAATAATTGTCAACATCCACCTCATGCCAACTGGTTGGTGCAGTGATTATGTTGCATTGCGCATAACATCGTTCTATTATCTCTAAATTTGTTTGTTATCTGCAACCCGTCAGCAAGAGAATCCTGAAAACAGTCAGCAAAAGAATCAGTTGTGCTGGAATTGAAATTAATACAGCTAACAATAGTACCAGCGAACAGTTTCCCAGGAGACAAGTTATTAAAGGAATCCATGGCATTCCCTGGACTTCAACCATGGTTGCAGAGACGGCGTAGAGACGTTACACGTACGTCATTGAACGTTGGTACGTTATTCGCCGAAGGTGTTTAAGAGTTATAACGATCTTGTATTAGGGTTTAAATATACGATTCAGGTTAGCCCATTTATTTATCTTAACGGAAAACGATCCGTGCAAATTAGGATGTGTTTTTTGCCAAGTTTTTTTCATTAAAATATTAAATTCAGATTCTTTCATTGTGCACCTCATATTACTAGCTAATTTACAACGCAGTGTACAGTAGACTTCCGCGATTACGGTCAGTACATGGTAGTGGTTCCCAGCTACAGTATAACATTTGGCTTCATGGGCGCTACTTACTTGATCAGATTATTTGAGAATCAGGACTCATATGCCCAGCAGAATAACGTCTTTGCTTCTAGTGCAGCAGATCGAAGAGAGCGTTGATGTACGTCTGTGCCATCTGAAGAGTCTCAAACTTGGACAGCTTCTGGTCTCCAGTGAGGGCCGGCACCACTTCCCTCAGTCTGTCAAAGGCTTCGTTAAGGCCAGTCATTCTCCTTCTTTCGCGGGCGTTGGCGGCCAAACGACGTTTCTTCAAAACTTCGCGGCTGCTTAGTTTGTTCCCTTGCCTCTTGTACGCTACAGACGAAGATAATGAGGAGCAAAGAGCTCCAGTGCCATAAAATTTCAACTTGGGTGCAATTTTTTTCGTTTCTGTTTCAACGATGGAGTTGCGGTTATGGTTTTTGGGTTTCGGTAGATGCTTTCCAGCGGAGTTGATTGGGTCTGTTCGAGATAGATGAGTTTCTTCTGAAGTTTCAAAACACCAAGAAGACGAGCCCAGAGGAGGAGGAGGAGACAGTGAGCCATTAGACGAACACGGACTAAGCGAAGATCTGGTGCTTGGACTGAACAGTGATGGCAGTCCTGGACTTCCTAGTGACTGGGCTAAATTTTGGCTGATGTGAAATGAAGATTCAAAAGTATAAGGAGAGAGCTCGCTGAAAAAATACAGATTCGCTGCGGGCGGACTACCTTGGCAATATATACTAGAAAAAATTCTAGAGTCATTTACGTTATGCGTGTTTTGAGTTTCCGGCATCGAATTCAGTACATCTTGGCTTAGTTCTTCCGAGTATGAATTTGAATCTTGGATGTTCTGTTCAAGAGATAAGTTTCGATTGTCTTTAGTTTTATCATAATCATTAAAGCTACGTTTCTCAGTCTTGGAGATATGATTGTTGAAAAATGTCCTGTTAACTACATCCTCTAATGCAAAGTACTGCTTTTGTGGGTTTCCAACAGCACTGGAAGTTACCGTTCCCATTCCTGTAGATTCCATGTTCTGCAGGAACCTGGCCCGCTGAGAGTCACTGGAAGCCACACACACAGACACAGCCATAACTGCGGCCGCAAAGTTGCCACTGTTGTGGTCGTTCACAAATGCCCAGCTTATAGCCTGACCGCCGGGCAACCGCAGCCAGCACTAGCCAACCGCAGAAGCTCGTCCCAGGATAATTGAGTCACGTGGTCATTCTTCCAGCCAATAGGAAGCAGCGAAAAGAGGAGAGGACACCGCCGCTGGCCATGACTTAAATTTTCATGGTATTACTCTTGGGCACGAGATCAAAAAATAGATTGTTTTTATGAACTGGTTGGGTAGCCAAGCGCAGGAAAAAGGCACCTAAAAGGGAATGTACTGCGGGCAGCCACGAATAATGGAGCATCGGTTAGCAGCACTCATCATAATTTGACAGTTGTCACGCCGCGATATAACCTTTAATTTTAATGAATATTCCTCATAAAGAAGAATCTATTGTTTTGTTGGACTATTCAACATTCATGGACTACTATTTAGTTTCATTCGCTGTTCCCTATTTTATTTTCGTAAATTTTCAATTCAAAAATTCGATCGAAATTCAAATATTCGATCGAAAATTTTTTAATTTTGTCCAAATTAAAATTTTTAACGACTAATGAAATTTGTCAGCAGTACTATTTCCCTACAATTCTTTTTAAAATTAACTTCCTTTTATCATCTTTCATGATTTAGATTCAGTGTAATTCTTTGCTTTACGTCACATTAGCTTACCTTACTTTACTTAACTTATCAATGATAAATAATATGATTGTTCATTGACTTAATTAAATAACAGCAAACATTTGTATGGAGAGCCCACCTACCAAGCACATAGCTTATGCCTGATTTTTAAGGTACCAACTACTCACATACTCGAACCATTACGAGCATAATGTTTTAAGGCAAGCGTAGATGTAAAAAAAAAATCTTTATTCGAACACAAAAATTTCAAGTAAGTGCGTGCTTCAGTTTTTTCCGTTAGACAAAACTGGATGAACATTTTTTACCTTTTATTACAGAGATTTATTTAAGGATAGTTTTATTTATAGGGTATCATTCACGTTAAACTGGACAATGATAAGGCATGCAGAGTGCCCTCAATAGACTCATTGAGGGTTCCCTTGCAGCGTTGTGGTACCTTCATTACGAGAAATTGGCGATGAGATGGCTGGGGATGCATTGTCAAGCATTTTTTCAGCATTTACTTACAGTATTTTGTTCTCTTTCACTAATTTGGCTCTCCTGAAAAAATTAGAAATGTTTTGCATAATTTAAAATCTATCTTCCCATTTAATTTCCAAGCCACAACGTTGAGAGGCATATCACTCGATTGGTCAAGAAAACATCTAGCGGCTCTAGAAGCTATTTTTCTAATTTATCCATTGTTTGATTTACATATTGTCAACGCTGGGGGAATGGTTGTGGTTTTCTCAATAATAATTTTACTGAGAAAATGGAAAATAAGTTCTACTCGTACACAAGGCTTCAACTAAAATCTGTTCTTAGAACTGCTCTTGACCGTGTAATTACTAATGTTTGCAGAGCTGTGCCCACTGTGCGCAGTAACCGAGTTAAAGACAGTGACGTATTGACAAAATTTTATCCTGCAATAAGCAACAATTTATCAACACAGTCAGGGCTGGGGCGGCCCATCACAGAGCGGGACAGTAATGGGACAAACGTGGAGGGGCGTCCCTGACCGCCCGCCATCGTTTGGTGTCCCGGGCGTCAAAACACAAATTAAATTTTATCTCATGAATGCTATAAATGTTTGTCTTGGCGTGGTTTTAGCGGCACTGTGTCCGAGTTAAGCCTACACAACATTTGAACGCTTACGTAAATTTATATGGCATTTAGAATCTGCGAAAGTAATTTATTAGGTCCTGCGAAAAAATAGGGAAAAAATTAATGAGAACGAACCATCTAAAAAACTGACGCGATAATTGCTCTCTCATGCTTTACTTTGATTGAAACATGGGAATAATACAGTGAAGCATGGGAGGAAGTTAGACTGTTTAATTTATTTTAAAATCGATAAATGCTTGCAATGCATATCGGCTGATGCCAAAACGTTATGCGACATTACCAGGGCATAGAAAACTAGATATTCGTTTCTAAAAAGAATGAAGTCAACTATGGGGTCATGTCAGCGGTACGGAAGGGAAAAATACATAGATTTCAGGGGATTAAATGTTGACATGACTGTGAAACATAAAGTTTATTCGAGGGAGGTAAAAAGCGCCCTATTAGCGAACCATAAATTTGACTGGATGCGTAGAAAAAGTACCTTAACTTTGATCCACTAACTCGAGAAAAAAACAGCGCGCAAGAAGAACTAATTGAATATGAGACAAAGTTTGAGTTAAGATATCACTTCACTGATCTATTTAAGTTTAGTGATGATTTATCAGGGAGAAAAAATGTTCATCTTTCGGCTCTATAAGAGATGCGACAGTGGATCAAAAAAATTAGAAAAAAATAGACCAAATGGAAAATTACTATGATTATCCATGCGTTTGAATCAATATACCATGGTATTGCCATGTTGTAGAATAAATACTTAAACGCAATACCACAAATAAACGCAATACCATACGTTTGGATAAATACTTACTGAAAAGCTATTAACTCTAAAAATTATGGAATCATTCGCCTTAATGTTAGCCCATAAATCTTGCGGAACGTATCGTTAATGTTTCGTGGCCCATACTTTCAAAAGTGAACGCAAATCAAGTATACAAGCAGGAAGTGCATAAAAATTTATCATTACTTATAATATTTCAATTATCATAACATTTTTGCTCATGAATCTAATATGAACTAAATCCTAGAAAAAAGTGACAGGAACATTCCATTCGAGGAATAATGTTAAAATTTTTTCAGTATTATCATATTTTGGCGACAAATGATCAACTTAATATCTAATGTAAATTCATTTCAGTCTAAATATTCACAAGTTTATGAATTCACGCACTCTAAATATTTATATGCCATGATTCTCTATTCGTTAGAATATTTGTGCAAGATATATATCAAGCATTAAATATCAACCGTTAATATCAATCATAAAATATCCACCAATAAATATCAACCATTAAATATCAACCATTAAATATCAACCATTGAATATCAACCATTAAATATCAACCATTAAATATCAACCAATATATATCAGCCATTATATTTAGATTTTTCCCATTTGGCTGAGCCGAACTGTTGGTGATTCTCTTATAGCATCAGTAGCTTCAAATGATGCTAATTTAATATTAAAGGAGGCGTGTTGCGGGAATTAACCGTCATGCAGCTTCGACCGGAAATGTCACATACCAAGAACGTTACGATAGATGCACGGCACAAAAAAAACCTTCAGGACGCAAAAGGTGTTTTTTGGAAGACAAAAACCTTGGAAATGTTGAGCAAAATAGTTTCATTTGTGCAGAGAGATCCATAGTTTCATTTGTGCAAAGAGATCCAAAGAGACCATTGCAAAGATCCAACTAATTAAGCGTAATTTGTACATCTGGCTGAATATCCTGTATTTTTTGTGATTTTGCTAGAAAAAAATGATGAATTGAATCGGGTGGAGCAAGAATTTTCTTTCTCAAATGAGGATGTACACATATAATTTTTTTTCTATTAGTTTAAGTATATGTTTTCGCTGAAATAATACTCAGTGTAATAAATCAGTATGAGGAAGTTTTAGGACAGTGAATGCGCATAATTTGAATTATATATTCGTGCTCTCAGTTGGAGATCTAATACATAGAATATATGAGCCTTTCATTACGCTTACTTTAATTCTTTATTCTTTATTTACGCAGGAGCATACAATTGATTCGATCCTACTGCATCCTGACTTCCCCATGTACAGAAATGGGTAGGGAGAATTTCTAACTGCTTTCCTTGAACTCAACTGATAATTATCAAAGACATAGGAAGAATGATTTTCTTATCCACTTACTGCATGTGATCGAAGAATTGGGTATTTATCCTGCTAATTTCAGTTAACGTATAATGGAGCTAAATCGAATTCAAATGAACGGCAGGTGAAGTTATCTGTTACAGAAAAGCATGCTTCTTCCCTACATAATTAAGTGATATAAAATGCATATTTCATTCCATAGAGAAAAATTATAAAAATAGTGGAACTAAAAAAATTATATTATATAATTTAAATTGTGACTCGAAAAAGTAAATATTAATGTTGAAAAAATAAAATTTCTCGATTTCTTATACGAGTTATTACGAATTCATGAAACATCGCAACCCAAGTTTAGACCCCAGAAGCGCTTCATGTTACGTTTTTCACAAGCTCATTTTCCTACGTTCCAACAAGTGAATAAATCTGCCGCGCGCCTTTTAAGCTGCTACAGGCGAGCCGCCTGATTTAGACGTCAATAAGAGCCGGCGAGGTGCCGTAAGCGACGTCTGTTCGGTGTCTCAGAGATCGCTATCTAAGCCGCGTCGAAGTGAGCCGGCGAGGTGTCGTAAGCGACGCCTGTTTGCGTCGAAGTCTCCTTTGTACGGCGGGTGTGATCAGGCGGCGCCACGACAATGGCTCTTCAATAGCGAGCCTCCGAGACTGACGTCGTGATATGCGCCGGTCGCACTCCGTGGCTACCACGACACGTGTAACCTCGTGGGTTTGTGAAGATCAGTTGACACTTTGCTAATGTCATGCATAACATTGCCGAATATGAGTGACTTTCTAATGACTACTTGACTTGTTAATGAGTGAACACATTAACAGGACTACTTTTACACCCGTTTGATTTGAGCTCATTTGACGATAACTCGCTAAGAACATGCCTCACCAGGTGATTTGGAGAGTTCGCGGTCTGAAAATTGAATGAGCACTTATGTAGGAATTCTAGAAATTCGAAAAATATTTCGAAAAATTTTTTTAATTCAATTCCAATATCTATAAATAGCCTTCAAACAGTGATCTTTTTGTATTTTGTATTTTATCCCTGATAGGCTCGGACTTCATTCGCAATGTCACATCAAAAATTTAGTTATTGCAATAGTATATGATAGCTAAAGAGATCATTTGGAGAATTCGCCAATAGTAGGAGCCAATCTTACATAAAAGCTACGAAAAATTTTCTTTAGGAGATTTTTTAATAAAATGCGTCGAATAACGCACATATTAAGTAAAAAATCAATCATTCCAATCCACTATTCTATTTAATAGATTAGGCTTCAAATGTATATACAGTCATGGAAAATAAAACGGCACCCCCAGTTCAAATTTATAAGAGTAAAATTTAATATTTAGGTGACTTTTGTCGCTGGATCAAGTTGTGTACATTTCAATTTTAAAACAATTTCAAAGACTGTCATGACATTAACAAACAAATTGATCGGAATATTCTGAAATCTCGAGCGTTGTATGTCCCACAATCTCACCCTTGATCACCATTGTATCCGCCACGAAATTCAGCCAAGCAACGATCGCTGATGTGCCACGAGACCTCAGGCTCGCCACTCAATCATCCTCGTGGCTTATCTGGCCAGCCGTCAG